TTGTGCAGCGTGGTCATTTTCGCCGTATTTTCGTCGTAAAAACCACTCTAGCGGCCAAACGGTGCGAGATAGAGCCAAACGGATAAAAGTTTAGCACACTTTAATACAGACGTCCCCAGAGGATATCGAGCTCGATTTGACGAACCTCAAAACTCACCCCTGCGAGGGGGTGGGGGTGAGTGTGGAAGGAAGTGGGTTGGTCCGATCGCAATTTTGCTTTCACCGTTCGAAAGAGAACCAAAACTTGGGTCGACTCATGAAAAATCTTGACTTTCCGAGCACTTAAAGTGCTAATTTTGGAGTTGTTACGGAAGGTTTTTTCACCCTCCTCCACTCTAGGGGGTGCACAGCTCGTTAGGGGTGGCCAACGGCTTGCGCACTTCCTAAAAGTCTTGAGATGAATGATTGGGACGCCTGCATGCCAATTCTTAGCTTCCTTGCTCAAAAAACATAGAACCTACGTCAGTTTGAAAAATCCGCCCGCTAATTTTGATGAGCAGTGTATTTCCGTGCAGTGCCTGCAGCGGCCCGGCTGGCGTTGGCGTACTTCGCGGGGTGCCCTGCAGGGGTCATCGGTTAGCCAGAGGCCTCTTGGCGCTGATAGCGCTATTACGGACGCTCCGTCGCATTGGGCCTACCCAAGGTCGCCCAGGAAAGCATGTTCGTGCTTGACCCTTGATTTCTCAAGAACAGCTGCATCAGGGAAATTTTAATTGGCACCAATGCAATTTGGTGTGCATTGGGTGGGACAAGACAATGTTCTCGGTTGCCGAGCACATTTACTTCACTCAAGAACATGATGTTTTGGGTAGTGGCGGTCTCGGCAGAAAACAGCCACCTGACACCTGACGTAACGTGACGGACCCTTGTTTCTCTATCTCTCTCTCTTTCTCGCTTACACCCTCAGTAATCCTATCTCGCTTCTGTACAAGCAATCAAGAGGCAGCGTGGCGGTAGTGGACGGGAGCGTCGTGCAGAAGGAAGGAGGCGTTCTGCTGACTCACCTTCATGTCGGGCACCGACCAAAAACGTAACGAGCAGGTGGGGAGAATCAAAGGCAGTCGGTCGGCCTACCTGCCGGGTCTAGAGTGAGGGGAAAGGAGTCAAGCAGCCGACGCCCGTCACCACCATGACCTCCGCCCGCCCGTGTTTCCTCTCTCTCTGGTGCGGGCCGTGCTGTGCGCTGCTTCACCACCACACGCACGCTCGCACGCTGCCCAACATAATGGGCTGCGTGTCGCGGTGGAGGCGTGGGAGCAGTGGGACTAAGGGGGCGGGAGCAGAGGGAGCAGAGGCAGCAGAAGCAGAGAGCCTGGCGCGTGCCGTGACAGAGGAGCGCCACGGTGGACAGAGGGGCGGCGGGGGCTGGAGCTTCAGCGACGGCCGACGAGACAAATATAACTCGTGACTACACTGGAAAAGGTGCTACATCCTGCCCGTTTGAGAGAGGTGGTTAGTGCACATTTTCACCTTGTTCTAAGTTTCGGAATATTACCGGGCCTTTCTCAAACGGCAATCATGCAATCCGCAGGCAAACGCTTCTTCAGCGCGTCTGGGTTATCATGAGAGGGCGTCGCACACACACTCACCTGTTGGGAGGAGTAGCTGGACTGGCTGGAGTGGCTGGGGGCGCTCAGGGCGGAGCTGCTGCTGCCGTCGCTGCTGTAGGACGAGGAGTCCGCGTACGATGACAGTCCGCTTGCGCTGCTGTGCGACAGCCCCGTTGACAGGCTGGATGAGTAGTCGACAGCGGAGGCGGCTGCAGGAACGCCGTATGAGGCGGAAGGGGCCGGTGCGGCGTAGGTCAGGGCAGGGGCGGCGTAGCCAAGGGAAGGAGCCGCGTAGCTCAGCGAGGGGGCAGCGTAGCTAAGGGAGGGGGCCGCGTAGCTGAGGGAGGGGGCGGCGTAGCTAAGGGAGGGGGCGGCATAACTAAGAGAGGGCGAGACGTAGCTCAAGGCTGGGGCAGCGTAGTTCACGGGTGGAGAGGCGTAGCTCACAGCAGGTGCATAGCTTGCGTAGCTCAAGCCGGCATTCGGCACGCCATACGCGGATGAGAGCGATGTCGAGCTGACGTGGCTGGAATGGCCAGTAGAGTGGCTGCTGGAGTGACCACTGGAGTGTCCACTGAGGTGTCCGCTAGAGTGGCTGGGTGTGCTGTAGCCTGCCGTCAGGGTTGAGTACCCAGAGGAAGGCCCCTTGGCGTGATGTGGCCGGGGGAAGCGCACCAGCGAGGAGCTGAAGGCGGAGGTCTTGTAGTGTGACCCATGACCGCCGTGATAGCTCGACCCGTGGCCGGAGTAGCCGGAGCCGTGGCCGGAGTAGCCGGAGCCGTGGCTGGAGCCGTGGCCGGAGCCGTGGCTGGAGCCGTGGCCGGAGCCGTGGCTGGAGCCGTGGCTGGAGCCGTGGCTGGAGCCGTGGCTGGAGCCGTGGCCGGAGCCGTGGCTGGAGCCGTGGCTGGAGCCGTGGCTGGAGCCGTGGCTGGAGCCGTGGCTGAAGCCGTGGCTGGAGCCGTGGCCGGAGCCGTGCCCAACGCTGTAGCCGGAGCTAGGTACGCCGTAGGTGATTGAGGGGAGCTTGCTGTGCGCAGAGGAGCTCAGTGGCGCGGAAACGCTGAGGGACGCCGCGCCGTAGCTCTGCGAAAGACCGCTGGACAGATCTGAAACCTACAGGAAAACAGTGCGATGCTTCAGCCTTTCGCAGATTTAACAGGAAATTTTAACGGATAAAACCTTACAAGCGCGTTAATAAAGTTCGAGTATACCAGGTGGCTGATTCACGCCTCGCACTTTTGAACTATGCAACCCGCCCGTACGGCTCCATCCGAGACTGCATACCCATGAGGCGCAGGGGACCGGCTCCAAGTGCCAACGCGTTGCTCCACCACTGTTCTTGGGGCCAACGCCCACGGGTGTTACTAGGGGTTGTTCGCGGTCTAGCGCGAGTTCCCGCGGGTCCACGGGGGTAACCCGTGAGTACGCGGGGTTAACACGCGGGTCCGCGGGGGTGACTCGTGGGTCCGTGGGGGTAGCTCGTGGTCCGCGGGTTCAGTTAGCCATCCCCGTGGAACAGCGAGCTACCCGCGCGGACCCGCGAGTCACCCTCGTGGAACTGCGAGTTACCTCCGCGGACTCACGGGTTACCCCCGGCGGATTCGCGGGAGCTTGCGCGAGACCGCGAACAACCCCTAGTAACGCCCCTGGGCGTTGGCTCCAACAACAGTGGTGGAGCGACGCGTTGGCGCTTGGGGCCGGTCCCCTGCGCGTGATGGGTATGCGGTCCCGGATGGAGCCGGAGCCGTGCGGGTTGGTTGCATAGTACAAAAGTGCGCGGCGTGAATGAGCCACCTGGTATGTAGTAAAGTAGAGAATATTTTTGACAATTTCGACAAATATTGATTAATCACTGCTACCAAGTTTCCTTTTCGTGCAACTTTTTTCTTTCAGTTGATTTGTAAGGAATGCACTTGCAATAGTTTATGCCAGACACGCCAAGCAACGGAAACCAGAGGCGCGGATAGCGGTGTTCGAATCTCAACCTTGGTTGGCTTCTAGATCTGCTTGTCTGCTGTCAACTGCCCGACGGAGTTAGATGAGGTGGTTCTCCAGATTTCTACCTCGTTTTTAAGAATGAGGAAAGCATTTAAAATGTCTTTGCTTGCATGATAACACGTAATTGTATTAATCTAAAGCAAGAGAAGGCGTCGCTAACAAGCGCGACAGAGCGGTGGACAGCAGACGCCAAGCCTACGAGGCAGAGATCAGATCAGCGCCGTATTTGCCTGTCGTTTCCGGCGCCAAACTTACCCTAACCTAGCCTACCCTGTATGCAACTCGTACAACTTACTTTGATGCCGGGGGCACCGTACGCAGTGGATGGGGTAGGTGCCCCTACAGCGGGGGCGGCAACGGGGGCGGCGGCAGCAGCGGGGGCGTGGGCTGAGTAGGTGGCGAGCAGTGCGGGCGAAGCGACGATAGGCGTGAAACCGTGCGACAGGGTCGGCGCGAGGAGGGTTTCACCGCCTAGAGCGGAGCCAGAGGGGCCAGGGCCAGCTGGGCCCGACAAGCTGCGGGCAGAAACAATTAAGGGATGAGACGAGGGTCGGCCTGCTCGCAGGAACGGAGAGAGCAGCTGTAGAAACAACGCGCAAGCCCAACAGTCTACCATGCGCACATTAGAGCATGCCTGCAGGCACGCACAAGCAAGTCTGTGCCCACCAAGTCAACCTGCTACAGCTAACAAAGGTTGATAAGGAATTAGAACATTCACGGAAAAGAAAACTTAGCTGCTCCAGCTTAACATTAGGTATGCGAGCCAAATGCCGAGGACAGACAAAAAAATTACGAAGAGTAACTTATAATTCGTTGCGTGAGCTAATCTGTGACTGTCGCAAACGAAGCGTTCCCTGTAGTTGCCCAACTGCATTAGTTGTCCGAGCGAATGGTATCAC